AAAACCTGGAAACACTGGACGACCGTTTCTTCCGGAAGCAGTGACCAGTGGAGTTCAAACCACGTCTGTTGTGAGATATCAACTCACTGAAGACCTCACTGAACTTCGTGGATCAGTTGAAGTTAGACATTAACACCGTTGGATACCGACTCAGTGGTCTAGTGGTTAAGTGCTCTGGCTCGAGACTGGTAGGTCCTGGGTTTGAATCTCTCGAGGCGGGATCGTGGATGCGCACTGCTGAGGAGCCCCACAATAGGACGAGACGGCCGTCCAGTGCTTCCAGGTTTTCGATGGTGGTCTAGCTTCAATTGACTCACGCTTTCAACTATGAAAATACTAAATCTCCACAAAACCCCTTCTGATAATAATAAATTTTAATTACTATATTTATGATAGAAACATTGCTGTCGATGGTAATGTAATGATATAGAATGAAGGGTATTACTATATACAGTAATATTAAAGATCAAGTGTTAAAAACCAATCAATTTCTTATATGGAAATTTAGTGCTAGATGACCAAATACGGTTGCCAAAAACTCTAGAAATTGATATTATGTTCATTATTACTGGTCATCGCTTTCAGTCAATGTAACAATGCTACTTTCCGGATAAGCATAATGAGTCACAAATACAAATACCTTCCTTTTTGAACCTATCTAATTACACAATAATACAATATGACATTAATAAGAAAGAGGCATAAAATGGATTATAAATATATAAGAATACCAGTCAGATTGCACAAGAAAAACAATCTTAGACACATCAAGCATTTACAATGAAACCAAATGATTATTAGAATTATATAGTAAATTTAACACAAATATCTTTTTTAAATATTGTGTTTGTATGATGAAATGTAGAAATTTACTCATTAGTCACATGTTTTAAATACTAATTGGCAACAGTTAGTGAAATATTCTAAAAATCACGAAGTATTTCGAAATCTCTACAAAAATACGAATAGTCATGTGCTCAGTTATACATAACATTGAAATGAATTTTGTAAAGTTTTAATAAGAAACCATGTCCATTGAAGTCGATTAAATGATGCATGAAGCAGTAGTTCACTGAATTTGGTTAAGGATCATGTTATCTTAAGAAAACGTAGACCATTGACTTCTAACTCAGTGGCTAAACGCTATCGTTATTACGACTAGACTTTATGGCTATAGATTTGAACTTATGAGGTAGTGAGATATACAAACTAAAAGTTTATGTACCCATTGCTTATTAGGTTTCAATATAAATACTATCAGGAACTCTTGAAAATTTCTTAAAAACGCCCTCAAAAGTTGGAAAAATGCTGAATTTACTACATCTAGTCAGGGTGCTTTAAAATGTTCCTAAACAGTTCTGCAAAATGCTGGATTATATTTCATCATAGTTGGATAATTATTGTTTTTTGTTGTTAATTTAATATATCTCCAGAAGCTTCTAGAATTTAAAGTGGACCAATGAACTTTTAAATGCCTTATTTTCCTGTACATTGACTAAACTTATTGGTTAAGCTTCTTTCACATTTTTCATCCGTTGTTGTATGTTCTCCATCAAAGAGTTGAAGAATTCTAAGAATTATGAATCGGTTAGAAAGTCAGCATTTAAACCTTTAACTACAAGATGAAATTACTACAGAATTTCGTACAAAATAACTTACCTTACAATTTTGTAAATTAGTTACTTAATTACTAAACAAACTTAGAAAAAACATGAAAATTTTATTATACATTAACTAATAGATAAGATAAATATGAATTTGGCCAATTTTCAGTGATCACTCAAGGTTATGAAACAGTTTGTTACCTAGTCATTATTATTCCTAAAGATTTAATTGACTTCAGAGTTCAAGATGTATTCGAATAAGAAGCAATCAATGCGCAATAATCACATGATGTGGAATCAGAAAATAATTTTTTTAAACTATTTTTAACAGTACAAATACGGTTAACCTATGATTTATGGACGAATGATTCATATATGACATAATCTGTCTTGAATTTTTATCCATTTGGCTAAATAGCGTTTTGGCATTTTAGCTGATGTCAGTTAGCGATGGAAAATATAAATCTAGTTCCTAACTCTAAGCATCAATTGTAGGTCATAATTATAATTCTTCACACTACTTTGTAACCCTGATTTAGTCCTAGTTAGTCGGTGGACATTCCAGGGTCACTAAAGTGTCACGAAAAGGTCGTCCATAAATTATTGTCTCATCAAAAATACACTAGTGTTCATTCTATCAATTTACATATCTGGAATTTATGCTTCATCATGAAATCTGATTAATATCAAGTTGGATTTACATTATAATGAATATTGTCAAGTAGTGTAATTCAGACTTAGTTTCATGGTTTACATTACGGACCAATTTTAGCTGAACAACCATTGGAAATCAAAAAGCACTGGATAGCTGTTTCGTTCTAGTATGGGTTTACTCAGCAATGAGCAGTGGGTGCATCTTAGTATTCAGAGATCTCAATTATCGTAAGAAGGTTATGCAATGATCAAAATCTTATAGAAATAAGATGAAAATGATTTAAGGATCAGAAATATTCAAGACAATTGTCCAGTTGACAGATGTCAGGAAGGAATAAAAAACTTTCACATGATAATGATAATAATTCCGAAAAAAATTCGAAGACGGTATTAATAATTGATTACTGAATAAAATGTAAGATACATATTTATGTAAGATACATATTTATCAAAACCAACTAAAGGAGTTTTCAGGGTTACACAAGAACAAGTTATTTCAGGTATTGATCTGTCTGGATAGGTTAAGTGTGAACTGAAGAGCTAAAACTACTTCAGCGCTGACATATTTTTATTATCACTTCCTTCGATCTTACTCATTTGAGTGAGTAGATTATTCAGCATGATATTTCCAGGGAGATAACGGAATCAAAATTTACACGGTGTTTCCTTGTTGAGTTATTGGTTATTTTGAAGTCACTTTTTGAAAGATAACCCAAGTAATAATCACGTTGCTCAGCCGACATAATCTAATCGAAAAAGGTAGTAAACTTATGAATACATTTTGATGTAGCTGAAAATGTAAGTTCATCTTCAACTCATTCATAGATGATAGACTCGGTGAAGAAAACAACACGAAACTTTGGAAATTAGAAAGACTTCCTCTGAAGTGTTGAAATTCTGTTTATTTTAGGATGTTCTCATCACTTTCTCCTCTAAATTCGGAGAGCATCTCCCAAATCTCAGTTTTAGGTAACTGCCATTAAATATAACAAGGTGAACTTTTTTTGCTAGTACTAGGCGGAGTTTAACTAGTTCATCGTTGATTGTGTCATCACTACATATTTATCTAACCCTCGAGGATGAAGAGTGAACCAAGTTTTCTTCTTGATCAGTAGCACCCGTTTAAATAAAGCTGTATATTGATCATTCCAAGTTGATTTTCTATATGCAGATATTTCTAGATAGAGATTCATGGTAAAAACTAACTAACAGTTATCTCATTGTAAACACTAGAATTGGCATGAATCAACAATTTTATACTGAATTTTATATCTATCTCGATAAGATACTTGTAGTTTATACATTTAAACAAATAAATCCATGAGTAGAACATATTATATAATCTAAAATAAATAATTCCAGGAAAATGTTAAATCAAACAGGTACATTGTGTTTTCATCATAATAATAAACACTAAAAAGCTGAAATAGTCAATTAACAGCCTATTTGTCCTTGTTTAAGATTCACTTATATTGTATTCACTCTTATGCTTGAATATCATTCTTATGTGATATCTCACTGTTATATACTGCTGTAAATCCTACGCGGAATCTGAACACAAAATCATGATAAATTGCTTATAACTGTATTACACAGAATAGATAAAGTTCAGTGTCAGTACATGATATGAATCAGAAGAATAAGGAGTTATTTCAAGCCCTTTTATATTGTGGGTTATGTGAAGATGAAATCTCACAATATCATTCTTCCAAGTACTACTAATTGACACATTGTAACTATAAGCAAAGATGGTTAGTGGCTGGCAGTGGAATCCAGAACGCGTATTTCTTCCTTTTTTGGGACTCGTCAGCTGAATGTACCTGCGCATCTCAGAGTTGATGTCCACTCTAGGACTCAAACCCAGTACCGTTCGCTTCAAACGCCATCACGTTATCTACTTAGCCACTGAGTCCTGATAGCCACTATCCATCTTTGCTTATAATCCTTGTGAATTAAGGCTATATCGAGGCAATATGCGCAGTATGCAAGTATGGCAAATAAGGGACTGATCAATTGCAGTCGTAAACGTCAATGATAAGATTTAACCAAACAATACCAAGTGAATTTATTTTCAACTTAGTTTTTTATGGGATTATAACTTATAGTGATTATTTAACTACATTTATATTTACGTATCCTATAAATTTTTTATCACGGATAACAATTACCCGCATCATTACAAATTTCCAAACAGTATTACATTTTTTTTTAGACCATGCAACAGCTATTAAATGGTATCTATTACCAAAATTACACTCAACATTTAAAATAATGTTTCTTCTCTGGGACTCATCAATCGTTCCTATCTACCAATTACAATTAATGTAATGAGTTTTATTTATGATGCTTAATGCATAAATTAACAATCAAATTGGCTAAAATTATCACCAAATATCATATATCTCTGTTCTTATTGGCTAGTTAACCCTTTTGTAAGATTGCGCATTCACTTTTATGAGCAGTCACTTCTACTTCATGTTTCTCCTATTGATTAATCTAAACCTACTCATCAATTAGATGAAGGGGGAGAGAGAGTAAAAGTGATTATTAATAATATATTGTTTGTGTGTGTGTCTAAACTAACTTGGTTAAGACAACAATTAAATGTCAGTATACTAACCCCATCATATATGAAAATGGGCCAATAACTCGCATTGAAATTTGATTGGTTAAAAACGACAGCTAATAGACATTTACTAAATAAGAGGTGTATAAAAACAAATGAATTAAACCTCCCATATTATTCACATCGCATTCTGCACTATTTGTATACACGAGAATCTGTCAACTAGTTTTGATTTACTCTTGTCTAGGGATTAATGGTAAGTAATGATGTATTGCTTTGATGTTAACTTTTGATTAAATTCAATTGCTTATATATTATAAATCTATAAGATTATCTTTATGGTATCATAACCACTTTACATTGTCAGGTGTATATAAGGAGAAGAGATATTTAATTCATGTGTCAATTGAAACTATTATTAATATATTAGTGGACTGAATTGTTTAGTCACTAGTGGATTATGAAATTCTACCATAGTTAAAAGTATCATTTTCACTAACAGCTTATTAAACTTCAGAGTGTAGATGCTTATTATACAAACAAGATCATGCCACTTCACTGCCGTGTATATTATTCAGAACGTAGTATAGGTCCTGGTATTTAACATATTCATTTCCTCTTTGAAGCTTAATGAATTCTACTTAGAAACCTGAGCCGTTTTAAAATTAATTGTAATCAAAACTTGTAAACTAATAGATGCAGTTTGTAATGAGAGTTAGCTGTTTCGTGAAATATACTAATCTCATTCGTGTATTTGGTTATATGCTTATTGTTTCTAATTCGAAAAAGTTGTGATTTATTGAATAGAATAGGAATATTTATCCAAAATCCACTGATAAGAATTCTTGTAAGATGTCGCATTCCCTGTTACAGCGTAATCCATGTAACATACAACCCAAGACTTATATAACGAACTATTTCAATCCGATGAACATAGAAATTAGTTCAAACGTTTTATTGAGAAGTATTATTTGTAGGAGAATGGCATTATTATTAATAAGAAAATTAAGAATTGAATCATTTTTGACTAGTATTTCTCTAGATAACTGATTATCAGTCTAAAAGCTTCAATCGTTTTAAAAAAGAATAGTTTGATCATGAAATATGAAAACTTATGAAACCTGTGGAATAGTGTATGATTAGTTCACATTAAGACATTTCAAAGAATTAAACCAAATCTAAGAACTGTAACATCACTGTGTGTCTCATGGAGGTAATTTAACTGAGAATTCATTTGATATGATTAAATGAATGGACTGATGTATGTTTATCTCACTAGAGGTCATTTTTTTCATTTTGACATACTTCTCACCATTTCCCTTCCTAGTTTGATAATTCAGAAGTGTACACTAAACTCATTTCTCAATGAAGACGATGATAAGGATCCATGTATTAGTCTTCAGTCAATTTGTAGGGTATTTTCATAAATCTAAGTTTTGAGAATGATCTCCTGAAGTTTCTTCCTAGTTTTTAACAACTCACCAACTTGTATCAAATTGATGGGAAAAATCCTAAGCACTTAAGGTGCAACCAATTATTTTTTAGTAGAAATGTTAGGTCTTTTTTTCAAACATTATCACTTATAATATCATTTTGGGAGACTTTTGTTTTTAACATGTTAACGTGACAAGTGTAGATAACAGATAACAATTGAAAACATGTGAACATAATATGATGTCTGATTTTATGCTAATATTCTCTTATTTTCATTACAGAACATGATTTCTCAACCAGTCTTATCATCATCAACATCCGGTCATGGTCTTTCTATATCAGACAAGTTCACAACACCTATAGTCTCACAACCGCCTTTATTAAATACTGTTGGTTTACATGATGTCAGTTATGAATATTTACCGTATATTTTCAACAGTTTTCTCAATCCAAATAACCAGCATCATCATCAAAATGATTGTAATAATACATCTTTACATCATCAATTAATACCAAACAATTCTGACATTTTAAATCTAAATGCTCTTCAAATACCAATTTTTGAAATGATAATTGCTAATCGCAATAATAAAATTAATGATTCTATTATAAATAACAATCCTATGATGAATATGACATCAGTACCTAAGAATTCTGAGAATAATTCATCATTTACAAATTTTTCATTAACATCATCATTAACCAGAGCGATAAGTTCAAATGCAAATTCAATAGGTTCACAAATTTTACCTATTTGTACACCATTACTTCAACTGGCTATACGTCATGCATTAGCTGAATGTTTTCCAAATAATATACAATTACATATTCAAGGAAGATTAGAAATATCAATGAATACTATAGATAATAATAATACTGAAAATCCAAATCATATTAATACTACTACTAATAGTAGTAACAGTAGTACAACTACTCTTTATTTTAATGATACTTATGAATCACAGACAAAATCATCCAATTTTTCAAATGAAAACAAACAAGAAGAAAATAATAACAACAATAATCCAATGTGTCAGAAATTAATTAATCAACAGTCTACAACATCCCGTCGTAAACCATTAAATCCTAGTAAATGTTATCCATACGATATACTTTACAATAATCATTATAACAATGAGCAGTGTGAAAACGACAACCAAATTATCAATAATAATAACAGTAATAATAATAGTAATAATTTCAATTTACTACATGTAAATCAATCAACGAGTCCATTATTATCAACATCAAGTCCAACAAGCCCATCATCTGATTCAGGTGTATTAGATTTATCACATGGTGGTTCTCTAGCCGATTCAGCACCAATTACACCTTTAAAAGAATTTCAAATCTCTCATTCACTTGGCATTAGTAATGATAAGCATAATAGTAATAATAGTAACAATATAACTGATGATTATCATCATTATCAATATTTTAATTTACATGATCAATTGGAACAATATGATTTACATTGTTTTAATCGTGAACAAGATATTTTAGAATCATATAAAAAACAATTGGCTGCATTTAATCAAATTCAAGCTGTATGGAAAATGTCAACATCATCAACTAGTGAAAAAATTTCAAATTCTTCATTAAAATTTGATCCTAAGATAAAATACAGTGATAATTCTAATGACAAACAAAAACCGAATTCTGAACCGAATACACCTGCAAAGATAGGACGTCGTACACGTACGAATATTGGTCAAACTGGACGTTTAACTTCAATTCGACGTCAAAGTACCAATCGTCGTTTTCCCTGTAATCAATGTAAGGAAGAATTTCCATCATTACATACATTAGAACAGCATACATTATCACAACATGGCACTTATAGATGTCATATATGTCAAGCTCAATTTACACAACGATCAAATTTACAACGTCATGCATTAAAACATGTCGGTTTCAAACCATTTGAATGTCGTGTTTGTTCTAAAGCATATTATCGTAAAGATCATTTAATGAGACATATGGAAATGGGACATCCAGGATTTACACCAAGAGATAATATCACTGTACATTTAACATCATCCGAAAGTTTAGATTATTTAACTCGATCAAATAGTTTAGTTGAAATTCAATCAATTCCAGAAAATTATGAACAACAAGAACAACAACAACCTATGTTCACCGATGAAACTTTAATTGAAAATGAATATTACAATGATAATGAGCATGAAAATTTAGATGATACAAATCTATCTCCTTCACCAATCAATAAATTACATAATGTTGATTCAGTATATTCTCCCATTAAAGATGAAATTAGTTTACCTTTACCAGAAGAACAAATAAAAGATTCAACACAAACTACACAATGATAATGTTCCTCAGTTAGCAGCTAGAATTTCAATAAAAATTCATTGGTTCCCTGTTTGATCATTCTTCTTCCAAATAATACACCATTGAACATTTGATAGATAAATAAATATTTAAAAAAATAAACAAAATCCGGTGAATTCATCTTCAATTCTGTTGTAAATAAATTCATGTCATCATCTATTTTGCTATTACAAAACTTTTTTTATTTGTGTATGAAAATGTATTTCCTCTTTTTTTATTCTTCTTCTTCCTCCATATTTGTTTATATTTAATAAATAATAAAGCAATAACTATTTTCTACTTTTGTATTGATCAATTCATTTGTAACTATTCTGTTTTTTTATTTTTCCATTTTTACTCAAAAAAAGGCGTCAAATCACCATGACAACAACACCATTAACATCAACAACCCCTTTTTTGTACATGTTTTATTTTTTACCTATCTTTTTTTCTAATGAAAACTAATACATTCCGTTTTGTTTTAATGATGAAAAGAAAAAATATCCTATTAATGAATATAAGAAAAAAAATAAAATAATTATCTTTATAAAATTTCTGATTATTTTTGATTTATTAACAAATTGGTTGTGAAGTCAATAATGTATTAGCGGAATATGTTGATTGTAAAATGTTCTGATTAGTTAATTATATTCAGTAGTTCGATAGTTTTGATGAGTCGTCAAGATTTCGATACCTGACCAATGCAGAAGTTCATACTGCTACATCATATTAGTGCAGTAAGATAAAATTATCATGAGTAGAAGAAGTGGTAGTATAAAGTATGTTTTATAGTATGTTTTAGGAAGCAAATTAAGTCGTCAAATTAAAAGTATAACTTTGGTATCACTATCTAAAGCAAGACAAATTGTGAATGGATCTGTGAAGTCAGCCATGAATGAGGATAAACACACTGAACCAAAAATAATATTCTCCAACTAACTACATGGCTTAGTTGAACAACCAATGACCCTAGTGACTGATGTCAAGCGTTAGTTTTATTGTTCCTAGCTTTCCTTCGTCTTACACTAGCAAACATTGGATTTCTAGGTAGGCATTAGCTGAGCATGCATAAAACGTGTCCTAATTACATAAGTCGTTGAAGGTTCACCACTTTATCAACCGATTTTACATATTTATCTAATGATTTGAATCTAATCACGGTATTCCTTACTCTGTGGTTCCAAGACTCTTGGGCATATTTGATCAGATATTAGTAAACCACGAATATCCTCCATTTTTAAAGACTATATTTCACAGACACAAAATAGAACAGATACGTAGTATACTCATTGTTTGAGTGATGGACATCTCACATACTTCAAGTTAGCTGAAGGTCAACCGAGATTCCGTTGGACACCAACCCACCAGAGTTTATGAGTGATTGACCCACTACATTACTACACTTTCTATAATTAGTTTAGGTGTTGACGAGGATCAGTCACGATCCAAAATATTCTATTTAAAGGGGAGAGAACGAATCAAGAACATGCCACTACAATCGTCATAAAAGTTAAATAAGGCTAAGACATACTGATGACTAACTATTTTTGGGTTGGTACAGTCAAACTTTGAATTCTTCATTACAGTGCTAGAGGTACATTCTTTAGGAAACTTGAAATGAAACTTATCAATACCCGTCTTTTATCGTTTCAAAGCACCCAGTTTGTACGTATACGTAAGTTGATGTGTACAACCAGACAATCTAAAACAGATATAAATGAATAATTAATGGTAAATATATGAGTATTTTACTAAATTTTAGAGATTTCAGAAGCTTCTTATGCAGCTGAAGATTGGAAAACCAATACAGGGCTTGGTAATTATTTAATCGCTATTGCTTAGTAGTGGATCATGATAGTTCTCAATGAATAGAATGATATACAACTTTCTTGAATTGTTTTAAGTTTATTGACTTTGTTCGTGAACACTCGTGTATAAAATTTCTAATATTATGTAATATATAACTTTTCGTCACAATCTGTGTTCACTAAACTCGGTTCATTCGCATGTGAATTAATGTGTCCATCAATCATAGTTTGTAATCAGGTAGTTATATCAAATTTACAGCACCAAGTTACATTGGTCTGGGTCTTATTTTATTGAATTAGAAGTAACATACATCATGACTCATGCACATTATTGATTATTAGTTAAATCCTATCACTTCCTTGATGAGTTTTCATGATCCTATAAAGTATATTTTCAGTTTCTTAATAAGAATGAAATTATTTTGTAATTTTTTTTTGTTTCTCTGTTTTAATATGTATATTTGGGATCCTTTGTTCATGAGAATAAATTCACTGGAAGATAAACTCTTCACTGAATCATCGATTTTCAATTCAATGTCCTAAAGAAATCATATTTACTATGAAATCTAAATGTATTGAATTTGATTTACTGCTATAAGGCTCCCAGTCAATTAAGAAAATAATTCATTTAAATTACAACTATTCTCTATCCTTTATGGATGTATACTATAAAATCACATTTAAAATATTTATAACCTTCCCATAAAAATTTAACAGTACATTACAAGCAAAGATGGATAGTGACTAGCAGTGGAATCCAGGACGCGAGTTTCGTCCTGTTTGGGACTCGTCAGCTGGATGTACTTGCGCATCTCAGAGTTGATGTTCACTCTGTTCACTTGAATCCAGTACCTTTCGCTTCGAACGCCACAAGACACTGACCAGTTGCAGTCTTAAACATCAATGGGAAAATTCAAACAAACAATGCCAAGGGAATTTAACAGTACAGTTTGTTTATAATTTGTTTGTATACTCTTCTCTAAGATAACAGTGTATAATAATATTAATAATAAGGTATACTGACAATTTACTCGATCTTCTATTTGTCTTAAGAGAAAATTGTCCTCCTATCCTTAATCTTAAATATTCACATCTATTTACATCATGGATACACTAACAAATCAGATACACGTGTTTATATACAATATATATATACATGAATAATACATATTTGTTCATATGAATATTTGTATAACTAACCTACTAAAAATGCAAAGAAACTACATCACTTCCCCCTTAATATACATCAAACTAATTAAAATAGATCCTCATTTATGAAGAAAACAAATAAACAAACATTAAAAACAATACGGTGTTGTTCCCATGGTTTGTGAAACATTTTATTTGCAACTATGATGTTTTTTTTATTATTATTCTGTTTGTTTACTTTTATATTGATTTACAACAGCTAAATCAAAATAGACAGTTACAATTCATTTTGGTTAAATACAGTTTTAAGGAAACATTTTCATTATTATTATTATTATCATTACTATTATCTATGCGAATAAAAGACTATTTAGGTTTGAAAAAAAGGAAAGAAAGAAAGAATGAAGAACAGAGATTCACCAGCTACTTATATCCGGTTTTAAACAATCAAATAAAACGTCAGTTAACATTTCAATGAAAAAAACAATAATACAATATACAAAGTGATAATTATTTAGATTGAACATTGAATTGAATGTTTATGTGTAGTTTAGTATAAGTATTATTACTATTACTACTACAGTATGTTGATTAAGTACATCTGTAGAATCGTTTTTTTTCTCCTTTCTATCTTGTTTTACTATAGTTAATGTATTTCAAGTACATTTTAACACAATAACTTCTATGTACATATTTTAAATTATTGTAAAATATACAGGAAGTGATTATATATATACATTAATGCCCACCGCTTATACTGAATTAGGGAACTAGGATATTTAAATTGCTTTTCATTAATTCATTTCCTGTTATACAAAAAGTAAATGATGATTCAGTACATGTTAATTGGATTAATTATTTAGTTAAACTGATTGGGAAGTGAGATTTATAAATTAGACTGCATGTAGTTTTCATTATTAAGTGATCGTCTCAAGGAAATGATTGAGTAATTGATCACTTAAAAGTTTTTACAGTACGGATTTATACAATATGAACTCAGTAGAGTTTAGAGTATTGTATACATTGCACAAATGAATAAATAGCATTCTAAACATCATATTTCATTCCATTTATTAAACAGTACAGTGCACTCCTTCAGGCCTATAATTTGGTGAAATAACTTTTGAGTTGCTACAGTGTACCAAACTAAAGGATGTCATACTTACAGCAAAAATCTAAGAATAAATGTGTAGTGAGTTGGTTTCCATTTTCAAATCACAACCAATTTGGGATATCAATATTTTAAGTCATAACGTATGTTTTCATCCATTTCAAAGAAGCATCAACACATATCAAGAATTAAGTACTGTATGACAATTGAAGAAAACCAATGTAAAGAATAAGCACTGTTCATTTAGAAGTATATAATAATTCATTTAAGTTCATGACAGAATTTTTTATTCTAGAGAATTATTTTTGTCTATTGGGTCATTAATTCTTGAATTCGATCATTAGTCTTAGATTAAAATATGTTGTTGGGACGAAATGACTTCATTATTTCAGTCGGGTGAAATTGTTTTACCATACAACTACAGGGATTATCTAGTATTACTACTCGATTTTAAAACATAACACAATCGTTGATAGTTGATAAAAATCGAATGTTTTCTGGTAAGATTCTTTTAACTCTTAATATGTCACATAGAAAGATCTGTCCATTTAGATGAATATGGACATTTAAAAAGAGTATAGTTGAGCAATTAAACTTCAGATACTGTAAGTTGATATATAGGGCGATTTCCTTTTACTACATACTGTAGATAACTAGAAACTTTACTTGACTCTTAGAGAATAGCTCAAACAACATGATCGCTTGTTATTACTTCCAACTGTCATCATTTTAAAGCTATCATCTCATCCATATTGTAAAAAAATGATCAATAAATAGTCAATCAAATGAAGTAATTGTCAAACTTCAGTTATTTTGAGTTATAAAAACGATTTTTAGTGAATCATATTGGTGAATTAATGTATTACCTTATACTTTGTTGACTTCATAAATCATTACTTCCTAATGAAACTCCTAGAAGTGTATATCAAATCTGGTCAGTTCTCGAGGACTATAATGTAACCCAAGTTGAAAACATTTACAATTGGATTAATATTTAATGATTCATTGTTGAAATCCTTTGTCATGAGAGATGAATATTAAACACGTTGATTGTTTTTTTTATATAAAATATGATATATCACTTGCTTCTCAGCCTCGATTGTTTCAAAAATAGTAATCCTTGAAGGAATATGTATTGAAAAAGACTCTAGAAGGAACGAACTACATTAGAGTTCATTCAATCACATTAAAAAAATCAAATTAAGTGATTATTAATTATAAAAATCATCAAACCTATTAGAAGTTATTTGTATGCAACCACGGACGATTAGTTAGACAATAACTGAAAACTAAGAAGCAATGAGTGGCTGTTTCGCTTGGTTGAGAATTCATCATGAGTGTTTTTCCACGATCCCACCAAAAATGGAATTAAGGACTTTCAAGTCCTGTGAAAAGCACTTAACCCTCAATCTATTTAGCCGAAATCCAATAGGCTGCATTTCTATCTTCAATCAACTTACGATTTTTTGCAAACAACTTCTACT